CAATGAATTATTTTCTTAATGTGTAAATCATAAGAAAAATTAAATGGCACAACAGAAAAGTTAATTGAACAGGGAAGTTTCAAAAGACCTTTAAGTGGCCAATCAGTGTGTGTGTGTGTGTGTGTGTGTGTGTGTGTGTGTGTGTGTAGTCAAATTCATTATCAGTAAGAAAAATATAGTTTTGAAAGCTGTGATAACATTTTGTCTTATAAATGGCCTCAAAAATTAACTACCAAAAAGCCCCAAATTTGGAGGATTTGTGGGAGGAAGCTGTTCTGCTGATGGGTATCTCAGCTGCTCTAATAATCTGGTTATAATCTGTCAATAGAAAAGGTTTTTAAAGATGTTCAGTCCCTTTAATTTAGCATTTTCTTTTACTTAGTAGAGTTTTATCCTGAGGAAATAATCAGAGGTATGAAATTACATACAATGCAATTCATTCTCATATGATTTAAGTAACTTTATATTAAAAGTCTCACAATCAAGGACTATATCAGTAAAAGTCGGATTACTAAGTAGCCACGACCAAGATCCTATTTCAGAAGAGTGTTTATTGACACTGGGAAATATTCACAATATGTACACAGTTCACATTAGTCATCTTTGAATGGTGTCATTATTTTGCTGTCAGCAATTTCCTGATTCCATGAAAAGATGATCTACTTAGGTCATGGGACATAAACACAACTGTGATTCTCTTTCTGAAGGAATGAAATGGCTATAAGGAGCATTTGGGAAGGCTAACGAACACTGGGAGAGCTACCTCTGAAGAGTGACGGGGGCTTGCAATAAAGTACTGTTTTCCCAGCCCAAGTGTTTTGTTTAACTCTGAAAAACTTGTTCATTAGGATGGTCTTAGAAACAGAAAACATTGCTCTGGGATCCCTTTTTCTTAACATCCAACCTTCAATGCCCCCATGTCCTACTTTATGAAAATATGATTTATACATGTTCGAATGCAAAGTATAATCTAATTGTCAAAGTAGAAGGAGAACAAGAGATGAACTGGTCTTCCTTTCTCATTTAATAAGGAATTCATAGTGGGGCACCTGAGTAGTCTGTTGGTTAAGTGGCTGCTTTTGGCTTGGGTCATGATCTCAGGGTCCTGGGATCAAGCCCCACATTGGGCTCCCTGCTCAGCGGGGAGTCTGCTTCTCTCTCTCCCTCTGTCATGCTCTCTCTCTCTCCCTCAAATAAATAAAATATTAAAAAATAGGGAATTCATAGAGAGATTAGGTGATATGCTTAGTTATTATCCTTAATATATAATCAACTGCTTATATATAATAAACTTTCTCTTCATAATGAGAAAAATACAAAATCCAAAATGAGCAGGTAGACAATAAGTATGAACAAGTGAATGACAGATGAAGAAATACAAGTGGCCAGTAAGCATGTAAAAGAGTTTCAACCTCAGAAGTAATAAGAAATGTACTTTTTTATTTTTTTAAACCTGTGGAATTCTTCCTTTTCCTTAACACATGACCCCAACCCCAAACAAGAAAACAATCTGACGATCATACAGAGGAAACCTCGGGTCAACAACTGAAAGCGGTCACATCCTTGCTACCATCCCTCTCCTGGTGCCTGAGATACACTCAACAGTAATATCTTGAGAAAGAAAAAGAAAAAGGCAAACATCACAACAGGGAGGTTAAATGGACAAGCAGGCCACGAAGAAGAGGGACAGTCTGAACAACTGAATAGGGAATATTTTCTTCACATGGAAGGATTCATAAGACTTTGACTTTGACTGGGGGCTCAACTGGATGGAAACATCAAATACTGTGCAAACTTCATGACGTATCCTAATTTCATAAAGTCAGGTTCAATGCAACCAATGGATCCTGGCTTCTGCTTCTTCAGGCACATGTGGAGAAGTCCAAGTTCTTAGTTTTCTTTTCTACCAAGGCCAAAAGCCTCTAACTCCCATATTTGAAATTTTAGGTATTCATACTTTGAAACAAACTCCTCTATGTGGTGAATCATGGTTTTATGCAAAACCAAGCTCATTATAATGCCATAAGTGTTAGCAGAATTCCCCTCAGATTACTTAGGAAGCAGTGCTTAATTCCAGATTGATAAAATGCCATATTAAGCCACTTTCTTACTTTCTTCATGAAGAATCAGTATTTTTCAATGAGTGATTTCATACAGTCCCAATTTCAAACTAGGTAGAGTAAAGCAACAAGAAAATTTTGGCAAGAGCTGACTCCATTGTAGCTGATGTGAAATAACCCCAGAAAATAACCAAATTTCCATTTGAGTTAATGCAAAACATACAAATTTATTAAGCATTCTGGCTGAAAGAGACTGCATTCCAATGACGTGTCTCTCTTATCTGAAAATGCTGGTCAGCTTGCTTTTAGGAAAATAGATTTAATGTTCTTATTCTTGTTCATTTAAAGAATGGTCTTATTTTCATAAAGGCTAATTGATAGCCAGTATTGCATAACAGCAATATTACCTATTATGTTTTTCAAAGAAGAAAATATACATATTTGCCCTTTAAATAAAGCAAGCACTTAGTTCTGATGGCTTACAACTTTACTATGGTCTTCCATAATAAAATAAGCTCTTTACGTTTCTTAAAATAAACACGAAGCCTGAGATCATAGCAAAAGAGAGAGGGAAAAGGATACTGTTTGATTTCATCCACAAGCAAGGGAGTCTCAAGTAATAATTTTCTCAGCTGAGTCCATTAACATGCACTGAACATATGTATATATGGAATAGACTGCTTTTGCAAATAGAAAACTACTGTTAGTCTCTACACTAGGAAGCAAATGCTGGGAAGCAAAAACTCCCTCCTCTCCTGGGAGGCACCTGCAGCTCCAGCTCAGAATGCAAGGAAGGATCTTGGCTTCTACAAGATCAGTGGAAAAGCTGGCTCAGTTTAGAATTGTCCTGGAGTAAGCCTAGTTTCCTAGCTCAGTTCTGGAGATGAGCTGACTTGGCCTTGGGGGTTCTGCTCCACAGTAAGATGGTCTGGACTACCTTGGACTCTAGACCAGGGGTCCACAAACTACAGTCCTTGGGCACAAGCTGACCTGTTGCCCATTTTGTAAATAAAGTTTTGTTGAAACACCTGCAAGCCATCTGTCTGTGTGCAGTCCATGGCTCTTCCGGCCGCAGGGGCAGAGCTGAGTCATCGGCAATACCAGAGATCTTTACTCTGTGGCTCCTTAAAAATAATTGCTGACTCCTGCTCTGCCAGAACCTGGGATGGACGCTTATTCTGGACTCAATCTGGAACCCACCCCAAGGCAAATGAAAGCCATGATGTTACCCACTTTTACACCAAGCTTTGCCATTTTGGTACGTTTCAGACATGAATGTTCTTTGAGACTGTATCTTTGGAGGCCTTTTTGAGTGGGCGGGTTATCATGGAGGATAGAGCCACCCCCGTATTGCACTTGATCCCACACCATCCTGTGTTAGTGGGGGAGCACTTTCCCTAGGTTTTGCAGCATGGCTTGCTGCTGTCTGATATCTGTGCTCCCACGTGCCTGTGCCTGCAAAGACTTAGGCTTCATTCCTTCTGGCTGAGATGCCCACTCCTCGGTAAACATGAAGGAGCTAGCTAAGCTTAATCTGTACCAATTTTCCATGGAACGACCAGGTTTATGACATAGAATGGGTGAGATTTAAGTGGGAGAGGATTTTGGCTGGCTTGGCAGTACAATAGAAAGGGGGTGGGTATGTTTTGATGCCTGTTCTTGAGTAAAAATAGGAGGAAATGACGAGCTGTGGTTCTGAGGCCCTCACTTACTGGTGTGAATCATCCTGGTTTGTTCCAGGACTCCATCTTTTGTGCTGCACCAAGAGCTCCAGTGTAGGTGGGTAGAAGGGCAGGGCAGTGATGCTGAGAGAGGCAGTATATGGTTATTGGGAGGCTTCCAAAATTGCAGAAGGCTGAGTGGAGCTTTATATCACTTCAATTTCTCAGGACTACTGGGGAATGGATTCTTGGAGGAATTGTCCTGCATGTTTAGTCTGTCATGACAGGAATGGATTATCAAAAGTCAAGCTATACCCGTGACACACAGAGGTCTATGGGCGTCTGCCCTGCTGTCATGGGAACCATATGAATGGGCAGGGGCTTGGTGCTAAGCTGGAAGGTAGATAGCAGAGCTTGTAAACTGATGGCCCTCGGTTCATTCTAGTTGGCAGATGTATTTTGATGGGCTCATGAGTCTTTGACATTTTTAAATAAGTTAATTGTTAATATTTACAAGAGGGAATATTTCATTTAAAATCTGAATTTCCAACTTCTTTCAAAAATTTGAAATCTCTGGGCATTCCGGGGCTCATCCCTACCTGTTAGTGATCACCTACAGTGGAAGAATGGCTACTCTTTAAAGGGAACCTGAGTATTCCAGTTTTGTTTGTTGTTTTCCCTTATACCCAACCCATTTCCGACATTGAGGTTATCCGCCTGGCACCTGGGGCCTTTGAGTTTGCAACCCCTGCTCTCTGTGTTGCACAAAGAATTCATGCTATTGCGATCTTATCTTCCTTGGGGGTCATTCTGTCTCCTTTGTCCCTTGCTAAGAGTTTCTACCTCAATTACCTGCTGCAATCTAATCATATTCGGTTCTGACTCTACTGCTAAATGGAATAAACAGCCCATCTGGGGGAAGATGCCCAAACTCTAGTCATTAAGAACTCTAGTCATTAAGTAGAGCCATTTATTATATTGATCTAAGAGAATGTAAAGAGTCAACATATCTAGTGTACAAGGGTTATTTCTGCATAGCTAAAAACTAGCCTTTTACTTATCATTTCTTCTCCATAGGTTTCTGGCGATGATGCCTCTCATTGTTTCTGAAGAAGATGAAAGCTCATTTGTCGGGATGCATTCACAGGATGTATCTGCATTTAGTGATACTGGAAATAAGTGTTGCTAAGACACTTAGGTTGGCCTTTTAGAAACCCCGTATTTCTCTCTAGGTGGAACAAAAATGAGACGTGCAAAGAAAATTTTAAAAAATAGATACCTGTCATACTGTTGGGAGTCATAGGTTAGTAATCATTCTGGACCTTTTTTTTCACTGACACCTCCTACAAAGAAAAAGACAAGAAAAAAAAATACCACAGGTTATAACCTGTATTTTCCATAATGTTTTTGTTTCAAACAATATCACACTCATTAATTAGCTTGAGGCAGTTTGTTACTCTCAACTCACAACTAGGGAAATTGAAGCATTGGCGGGCTCTGTGATACGTGTAAATTTACAAGACGTTTTAACTATAATCTCAGGGTTCCTTCTATAGATACATCTTTAACATCATTATTTTTATTCAAGATTGCATGTCTGTTTTTCCATCTCAATTTCAAGAATGCTACCAGCACACTGACTTGCTGCTTTTCCTGAGAGGGGCTAGGATAGATTGGGATCTTCAGTCTAGATCCTTCCTTCTCCAAGTGAGGAGGGTCCATCTCAGATTCATGCAGTGGCCTCCATCCCTGCTTCCAGCTCTCTCTGAGGCCAACCTGTGTCCCTCCTGTCCCTTCGAGGCTTTGGTTCCTCAATCTTTCCTAAGCAAAACAATTCCTGTGTTTACATAAGCTGTCCGGTTTCTGCCACTTGCAACCAAGAGTCTTGACTGATAACACCAATATTAAAATAAAATATTAACACAAATGTGTCCAAATAGTTTTGTTCCCTTTTTATGATCTCAAAGGTGAAACTATAAAATCCTAGTTATGTTCTTGCCATACCATCAAGTAAAAAAAAAAAAAATCTTTGTTTTCAAAATGTCAATTGAATAGGCATATGACCTACAGAAAGGTATTGTGTATGAAGTAGAAAGTACCCAGAAACAAGAGAAAAAATCTGATTAAGGCTTTAAAAATATTGTCACCACAAAATTTAGTACTAACTTGCTTACTCAGTACTATTCTCATTTAGTATTACCATTACTGTAACTGTACGATTATCATTGCTAGAACATTAATAGTATACTAGTACTGTTATTATCATGGTACTTTGGCAATTGGTAGTATTTAGTGCTATTTTCCTTCAATGACCTCTTGAGTTTTATAATGTAATTTTAGGAAAGTCCAATAACCCTCTTGAGTAGGCAGGGGTCTGGGGCCTCTTTTCCTGGCTATCCTGTGACATAGCATGGGGTCAGCGAAGCGCCCTATCTTGAGGACTGGGTACAGAGAAGATCCACCACAGCCTGGGGCTCAACAGCTGGTTATTGAGATCAAAGGGGAAAACAAAGTCCAAAGAGCTTAAAAATTAAGAAAGCTGTGTGTGTGTGTGTGTGTGTGTGGTCACGAAAGGAAACAAACTCGGTGAAGGCTTGCACTTGGTAGGTCAGTGAGGAGGAAGTATCAGGTGACGATGTGCCAGAAGGCTCCTCTCCATCCCGGAAGGGCTGAGTCATGGTCTGCACATCACTTGTTCAGCAAGTCCCACTGCTCATGGGCAGGGAAGAGTCCTCAGTGAGACCCAACGTGGTCTGAGTCCTGGGACCATCAAAGGTGAAGCTCCTCTCCCAACTTCAGCATCTCAGCACCAACTGAGGTGGAGAATGGCACTCAGTTTAGCCTCCTAGGCAAGCTCTACTGGAATGGAGGACATTCCTTTTACAGGAATCATTCATTTCTTTGGTCAGTCAGTCCAGAAGCCCTAATTGAGGGGCTACTCTGCTCAGGCAGTCCCCCAGGCTTTGCCCAAAGACAGCCCCTGGGCCTGTCCAGCAGGGTCTGCTAATGTAGCAAGGGGAGAATCATGTTTAAAAAGGCAAGAATGTACACAGGTTTCCCCTTGGGCCTGGGATACAAAGGGGGCAGAGATCACTTCTACCTGGGACTATCCAGAGAGGCTTCTCAGTAGAGGCGATCTGGACCTGAAGGCTCTCGTCTTCACTAGGCCTTTCCACAGGTCATGATTTAATGCTTTCTTCTCATTCTAGTGATCGAGGCACAGGGACTACTCTGGGTAATTTTTTTTTGAAAGATTTTACTTATTTATTTGACAGAGAGACACACTTTGAGAGAGGAAACGTAAGCAGGGGGAGTGGGAGAGGTAGAAGCAGGCTTCCAGCTGAGCAGGGAGCCCGACGTGGGGCTCGATCCCAGGACCTCGCAATCATGACCTAAGCAGAAGGCAGGTGCTTAATGACTGAGCCACCCAGATGCCCCCATGTAATTTTTTTAACTAATGCAGTTTTAAGGAGAGTTTGAGTATCTAAATTGAATTTTTAAAGCTGCATGGCTACTGAGACAAAGCAGACCAGTGAGAGGGCTACAGCAGGTCTAAGGGAGAGATGAAGGCAGCAAGAACTAGGATGGTGGCTGCAGAGGGTGAGGGACTCAAGTGACATTAAAGAAGTAGAAATAATAAGACACTGGGATGGATGCTATTTGGGCGTTTAATACTGGGCTGAAAACCAGGAATACACATTGGTTAAGATAGAGGCTATTGGCCCCAAGGAATTTATAATCCATTTTACCAGCTGTCTGGGAAGGCAGAGCCCGCTGGCCCGGAGCGGCTAAACATACCAGCCGCATACGCGGTGTGCCAAGAGGTGGTATGGAGAATCGCTCAGGGCCGTGCCTTCTGCCCACTTATCACTCTCAGTCCAATGCCATGTCCCTTAGGTGAAGCTCATTCCCCTTGCAAGAATGGAAAAGTGGACATTCACCTCCAAAACACCTAAAATGCATTTATATTTAAAAACATACAAAGGATAGAGAAGTTGTTATTGAGTTATCTGAAACTGGAAAGCATACAGCATTATTACAAACACGTAGGAAGTAGGTCCAGGGACTCTGGGAGACACTGAGTTCCATGCAACCTACTGTGAGCTCAGAGACCATCTTGGACTGCGTGGATGGAAATGTAGCCTAGAGGACAACAGTCAGGCCATGTCTGGGCTGCTGTATTTTAAGAGAATGCCTCAAGTAGAATGTTCAGGCTGATGGAAACCACATCTTAAAGAAACGTAGAAGGCAGTCACATGAAGGTTAGGGGATGATCTTCGAATATCTGAGGAGCTGTCATGTGGAAAGAGTTCAGGGTGTTAGTGGACAGAGGATGGCCGGAGAGGTGCTGCTGGGGACCCCTGAGGGGACAGGGGACTTTCTCTGATTGATAGAAGGTGCACATCTCCAGGCAGGAGAAAATGCACAAAGGTGCACCTTCTCCCGACCTCGGGCTGCTCTTGTTCTCAGGACAGATCAAGCTTCTCTTGAGAAGACCAGAGTCTTTATTCTGCAACAAAGCGGGTGCCAGATGTGTAACATGGTTCCGGGGATTTGCTAAAGGTCTGCTCCATGCTTCCCCTTAAAGAACTTTTCTTTCTTCTCTAAAGCTTTATTCCTTTAGCTCTGCAGATCTCAAATGCTCAGGGGTAGAGATGGGGGGCACTCTGGTCTACTTAAAGAATATAATGAAAGTTACAGTCCCCTTCCCTTGAAAGATGGGTAGACGATTTGGCAAATATTTTCAGACTTAAATTGGTAGTACAAATACAACCTATTGAATAGGATGAAAAGGAGACACGCTGTTAGGAGTTAGTTGGACAGTTAGGTAGTCAGAGCCAGGGACCCCAACAAGAAAGTATGGAGGCAGGACAGCTAAAACAGCATTAACATCCTGCTTTGCAGCTTAGACAGGACCTCACCAGCATTCTGCTTTGCAGTCTTTGCAGAAATGACTTCTGCAAAATGTCCTAAAATAAGACAATTAACCACAAAGCATTTGTCACTATCACAGCCAAGAGGCAGTTAAGACATAAGCTCTCAGATGTCAGCAAAAGAGACCATTAGCATATGGATGTTAACCTAATGGGTAGACAGATAGGTGACCAAAGCCCTGATTGGCACAGCACAGCACACCCTGATTGCTTAAGATAGTTTCACAAAAGAGCTCATAAAACCCCCTCAACATAGAAACTCCAAGGGCAACCCTCTTTTGTCCCCTCCATCTCCAGGAGCTTTGCACTCTTGCTCAATACACTTTGTTTTGCTGCCCACCACTCTTCGGATCTACTTCTACATTCTTTGAAGTGGCGTGACCAAGAACCATGGGCACTAAAGGCAGAGAAATCCTCCAGTGTGAGCTATTTTTGGTCAGGGGCAAAGCAAATGGGACCTACAAGCAGTAGATCCCTTTGTGGGTGGAAGAAAGGTGAGTTTCAGAAAAGCAAGGCTGGAGGCTGAAGAGGAATTCTCTAATCCCAGGATTTGGTCTAGGGACACTCCATTTATGCCATCAGACACCTTCACAAGCTCTAGATCATTTGAGATGAATTATTCATGTTGCCTGCTCCTGGAGGGCTTAGGTGAAGAACCAGCATGTACCTTAGCAGCAGAAGAGTTGACCAGAGGGATAAAAGATGTGGTTGGAAGCACTGAGGAAAGGGTGATTAATTCTATCTATATGAGGAGGACCCACAGTGACATTTGAGCTTGGCTTTGAAAAATGAGCTAGGATATTTTCCAGGAGAAGAATAAAGAGTATGGCCCATGATCAACAAAAGAACAAAATGTAGAGCATCTTGGCACAGGATACATGATTTGGGGTGGGGAGGGAAAAGAACATTCCCAAGAAAGAAACTGCAAATATACTTAGGGGCCAGATGGTGAAGGGTCTTGAAAGGTTTGCCATGGAAATCAGATTTCATCATAAGGGAAATAGGGAGCTAGGGAAGGTCCTGAAGAGAAAGACCCAAGTTGAGAAAGGTAAGTCTGCTGTAGTGTGGAGAGGACTCCTCGGGAGCCAAACCCCTTTGGTGGCACCTCTTTGTGCAGAATCACTGCTATTTTTTTTTTTTTCCTGTCTTAGTGTTCAAGGTCGCAAAGCTAGACTAAGGCCAGAGAGAATACCTCTAACTCTATCTTGGAAAACCCCAGTGCAGTTGCCCAGACTGCGCAATATTTTGTCCCCTGTGTTTCCTTTTTTTCTATAGAAATGACAACATTAAATGGACAACTGTAAAAATTACTCCTTGAAAAGTCTTTCCATATGGACCCAGTGAGTCATTGCTTATATAGTCTGTACATAATTAACATGAAACCCCACATCTCCCTCACGTCTTTATAT